GAAAGCAAACAGCAATTGACTATCTTTATGCAGAGGCAAGCAAAAGAAAGCATCTTTTAAGTCCAGGACAGTATACCATTTTCGTTCAGGGTTCAGGGTGCTAAGCAGATTGTATGGATTAGGTACTGTGGGGTGAATGTCCTGCACTCTGTTGTTGATCTTTTTTAGGTCTTGAATGGGGCGATAGTCCCCAGTTCCTGGCTTTTTTACTGGTAGCAGGGGAGTGTTCCAGGCCGATTGACAGGACCTTAGGACCCCTAAGGCCAGATATTTCTGAATATGGGGCCTCATCCCATCTTTAGCTTCTTTGCTCAGAGGATATTGTTTAATATTAATTGGGGAGGCTGAGGTTTTTAACTCCACCATTATTGGAGGTTGTTTTACGGCGAGGCTTAACCCAGCAATTTCTGCCCAGGCATCTGGGTAATCTGTTATCCATTTCTGGGGTAGCTTGCCTGTTTGGTCAGTCTTGGGGGGTGGGAAGAGTTGATGTTCATCTTCTACTGACATAGTTAAAGCCATGACTATAGGAGTTTTTACTGAAGGATTTAGAAATTCCATTTGGGGGCCTTCAGGGTTAAAAGTTATTTTGGCCCGGAGTTTGGTGAGCAGATCTCTGCCCATCAATGGGGCTGGGCATTCTGGGATCACTAGGAAGGAGTGATGGATTTTTCTTTTTCCCAGGTCCATGGTCCTCTTAGTTGTCCAAGCCTGATAGTTACTGCCGTTAGCCCCTTGAATTAGAGACCTTTTAGTTGATAGAGGGCCCAATGGGGCCTTAAGGGCTAAGTATATTGCCCCTGTATCCACTTCAAAGTTTACTGGGGTCCCCTCCACTTCAAAAGTTACCCTGAGCTCGGGGAGGAGATCCGAGCCCCGACTTTCTTAGTCATCCTGGCTGGCGTGGCTGTTTCTTTCTAGGGCACTCTTTGACCCAGTGTCCTTTTTCTCTACAGTAGGCACATTGATCTGAGGCCAGATGTGGCTTTTGGCGTGGGCCCAGGTATCCCTTTCTGTCTCCCTGTCTCCTAACTTCTGGCCTATTTGTTGTTGTGACCAGGACCTTAGTCAATGCCTCAGTCTGTCTTTTGCTTCTTTCATCCTCCCTTTGTTCCTTCTCTTCCTCAGTTTCTCTCTTATAGTATACCTTCTCGGCTTCTCTGCCTAAATCTCTCAAAGTCATATCTTGTAATCCATCTAAGCATTGTAACTTTTTTTTAATATCCAGGGCAGCTTGCCCAATAAAGGCCATCGTGACAGATGCCTTTTGATCCTCTGCCTGAGGATCAAAAGGAGTATATCTCCTATATGCTTCCATAATTTTCTCCAGAAACATAGAGGGTGATTCATTAGGCCCCTGAATAATCTCTCTTACCTTGGTCAAATTAGTTGGCCGTCTAGCGGCTGCTCGGAGACCTGCTATTAGAGCCTGGCGGTAAGTGGACAGATGCTTTCTACCTTCAAAGGTGTTGGGGTCCCAGTTAGGTCAGTTCAAGGGGAAGTCAGCTTCGATTATGTTGGGAAGTTGTGCCGGTCGCCCATCTGGTCCGAGGATATTTTTTCTTGCTTCCAGGAGGATTCTCTTTCGTTCCTCTGTTGTGAAGAGAGTGCCTAAGAGTTGTTGGCAGTCATCCCAAGTAGGCTGGTGTGAAAACATCAATGACTCGATCACACCTGTGAGCTGGGTGGGGTCCTCAGAAAAAGGGGGATTGTTATTTTTCCAGTTATATAGATCTGAAGAGGAGAAAGGCCAATACTGGTAGACTTGCATTTCTCCATTATGGCCATCCTCTATCATTGGCCCATGAGGACGGAGGGGAAGTATCATGGGGGCTTCAGGGTTTTTAATCATTCGCTGCCGGCGAGTTCCTTTAGCTGGGACAGCTTCCTCCAGGGGAGGAGGGGCTATGTGTGCCTCGGGAAAGTCATCTGAAGGGCGCTGGGCTTGCTTAACCTCCTTCAATGGTAAAGAAGCTGAGTCAGCAGCAGGGGAATCACTTAGAGGGTGTTGGGGGTTGGGGAACGGAGGCAGGGGATAAGGAAAGGGAGGAGAGTCCAGCAGAGTCAAATATTGAGACTCAGGGAGAACAAAGGGTGGAGGAGGAGGTTTGAGAGATAGAATCGCAGGGGAAGGGGTAGGAGCAGGAACAGGGACAAGAAAAGCCTTCACCCAAGGAGGAGGAGATTCACAAAGGTCCTGCCAAGTTAAGATATACGGCTGTTGCTCTGGATGGCTATGTGGCCCCGGCTGAAAGACAAAGATAATATTTCTGACTTTTCAAATTAGTGGGGAGTAGAAAGATCCTTCTGGAGGCCATCCAATTACAAAGGCGGGTCATTCTGTGGCATAGAGAGTCTGCCAGGTCTGGCGTTTTACTGAAAAAGAAAGATTCTGAGCCCTTAAGCGGACTTCAGTCCAGTGAATGACTCTGTCCCATAACGAAAGTTACTTGAATAAAGACAGGGACAATACAAACGTGACACAAACATGGACACACAGTTAACAGTAAATGTGTAACACAAGTTCAGAGGCAAAGATTAAAAACAGACAGTGAATTCAACCTGAGAGAAAGAATAGTTGCCGGCAAGACCAGACGGGTTGGCAGCAGAATACTGATGAGGGCACCTTGTCCCTCCCAGATGGGGGCATTTCCGTCCCCCCCAGAGTCCCCCAAAGTGTCCCTTGAGGAGACGTGGTCTGTGGCTTCAGGGACACATCTATCCATCACCGCCAGGGGGAGCTTACGCTCTCCACTGACAATCACACTCTGCCAACCCAAAACCAGAAAACCAGAAAAACCAGAAGGCTCTGAGAGCTCACACTCTCCAGCCCAAAACCAGACTCTGAGCGATCGCAAAGGAGAAGAAGAAGAAGATAAGACGTTTTATTTATCCCCCTAAAGGAGTCTTGTTGAGCGATGTGTAGTTCCCGGCCAATGCACCAAATGTAAGGGTCCGGCGAAACGTCAGAGTAAGAGACCACAAGAGACTGTCTTATGCAAAAGCAGAAGGGTGGGTTTATTTGGAGACCAGCATGCTGGGGCCCGAGCTCTCTATAGCAAAGAGAGATAGATCCCTGAGAACAGCTTGAGCAGAGCTTATATACTTTTCCTGGAGAGGGCAGCGAGAGAAGTTACATTTTGTAGTTTGGCAGTTGGGGACAGCTCATTCTGGGAACAAGATTAGCAAACAGTTCTTAAGATTTCAACAGTGTTTTGTTAAGCATATAGAGAAACGGAGTGACAAGTACCTATTTTATTAACCTTTCATACCCCTTCCTCAGGCCTGAGTGAGGATGTGCCTGTGAATATCCCTAGAGTCTGCCCTGGGCCAAGGGAGAGTGGGACTGCCTGTGAGCCTTGTGGCTGCTGTTTCCAGAGAAGCCCCAGAATGTGGATCAGAGCCTGTAGATGATGGTGCTGCCTCAGTGTGTGTGTGTGTGTGTGTGTGTGTGTGTGTGTATGTGTGTGTGTATGTGTGCATGTGGACACTTGCCTGTGTGTGGATCTTCTGGAGATGGATGGATCCTGTGCCTGAAGCTTGAACTTCTCTGTTGACCATGCTCTTTCTCCTGACCTGATAATACTTTGTGTGCCAGTGTTTAGCTCTGACACCATGTATGTTGCAAAGTCACTGAGGCAGGTCTTGTGTCAGGGTTTTTTAGCCTCCTGTTTCCTCCTGACCTGCGGGAGAGATGGGGAAAACATGCCCTGACCAGGACGACTAGCCGCCCACACCTAGCCCTCCCTTCCCTAGGACAATCGGGTGGGCCAGGGAGAACAGTCAAAGCAGGATCTCCTTTAATGAGAAAACATACACAGCTAATATAATGTACAGGAGCCAATCAGGATAAAGGTCAGCAGGGTGGGGAGAATTTACATCTACACCCATCCTACAGGCAGTAATGTCTGTGAGGGCAGAAGGGTTCTGAGCCTATCCTAGAGGTGGTCTGATTCTTCATCACAACCCAGGGCAATGCCTTCTGGCTAATCGATAGGTGTTCTCTTAGCCACATGTGGCCCCAGGACTGGGAAGCGGGTGCAGCCAGCAAGTTAAGTTTCCTCTTTTCTGATGCAACATGCCCACGTTACATCATGCCCTACAGTCTTGAACTTATGATCCTCCTGCCTTGGCCTCCTGACTCACTGGGATTGCATGTATGTGCCTCTGGCTACAAACTCATTTTGAAGTTACAGAAAGGTATAAAGACAGGTCAAAGGAAGTGGTTCTATCTCTAATCATACCATTCTCTAGTGTTAGCTAATGTCTTAACTCATGATTTTAATGAGACCAAGAAAAAAGTGGCTTGGGCAATATTACTAACCAGAATGCAGACTTTGGGGATCCATATGGCAGGGTAATGCTATCTCCTCAGCTGCTTGTACTCTTACATTTTTTCCTCAGTCCTTCCTCATCTTCCATAAGCTTGGTGGTCTTTCATTTTAGGATACCCTTCAAAAGAAAAAAGGCTGGGGCTGGGGATGTGGCTCAAGCTGTAGCGCGCTCGCCTAGCATGCGTGCGGCCCGGGTTCGATCCTCAGCACCACATAC